GGGGGGTGGGGGGGGGGTGTAGCCACCGTGGAGAGCCTCGTGCCAGCAGCAGCATATGGTGACTTTGGTTTAGGGACAGAGTTGTAAAACAGCAGGAAATTCTATTATCCGCCGCGGAGGTTCAGCCTTTGTAGCTGCTTTGGATTCATATTTGTCCATAACGAGCGCGCGCTGGCTGGTGGGGGATAAATCCAGTTAGAGGCTTGGACAGAAAAACGAGTCGATTTTAGAACCAAAAAAAAAAACCTCCTGGAAGATAAAACTGACATTAATATCGAGGTGAAGGTAATTTAACTCGACATTTCTCAGGCTTGAATTTCTCATCAGGAGGGAAATGAAGTCAGTTTCAGAAAGTGGAGCTAAAGAAAGTAAGTCGAATTTTGTTCTTGCTTCATTAATAAATAAGGTTTTACAATGGCCGACCTGTTCCTTTTCCATATGTTTTATGGAGCGTATTTTCACGCCTTCATCACGAGCAAAGAAAACAAACCGACATGTTGTAATCTACAGTTCTGACCGATCGGAACCGGAACCGGCTGCTCAACGGAATTATTATTTTAATGCTTAAAGCTGCGGTTCCGTTAAAACTGGTCGCGAGCGCTGGTCTGAGGGTGTTTCTCTGTTTCGGCCTAATTGAAACGTTAATTAGAAGCAGAGAAGTCGGCACCATCAATCATCAGCTCGTGGAGGTTTTAATTGGATGATTCGTTTCGCTCTTACCTCCCGCCAACCCCCCCGCTCCAAAAACACGCTGCGTGATTTCAGAGTGACTTTCATCTGGATTTCTCTCTCTTTATGACAGAACGGCTTTAATTTGCGTTCGGCTCTTCCAGTCCAAGAGGCCAAGTGTCTCTGGATGGAGCGGAGCAGCCGCCCCCTCATCAGCCATGACTGAATTCACAGGAGAAACGTTTCAAGCAGCAACAATAATCCTGAAATGTTGGCTCATTTGTCTCAGAGCTCTCAGATAATTATTACCCCCCCCCCCCCACACACACACACACACACACACCACCACCCCTGAGGAGAGAGAGAGGGAAAAGCTGCTTATGAAACAATTTGGGAAATAACCTTTAAAATTTTTAATAAAGCACAACAACATATAATAAACTGAAAACCAAAATAAAGTTTAACTCAAATAACACTTTTCTGGCGCTGTTTTAGTTTCAGTTGAAGCAAAATATATATATATTTTTTAAATCTTGCAAATTATAAAATATTGGTAATTTTAAGGTTTCAGTTGTTCTCCAAAATATAAAAATAAATATGAAATAATTCAGAAACATATTGACACAGGTTTAAAGGGAATGCGCAGCTATTTTATCTGTATTTATGTGATTTCGTTACTAAAACAATACCAGTAGTTTTTTCATCATCGGACGCGCGTGTGGCGCGTAAAGAGCGCATCTCTCTCTCTCCGTGTTTTCTGACAGCAAACAGCTGGAAACGCCTCTCAGTCCACCCTGATCCACACCCAGGCTGCTGTGGGTGTGTTTGCTTCCACGCTGGAGCGGCCTGTCTCCATCATGGTTTCCACTGGAAAACAGGCGGAGGAGCGCAGAAAAGACGCGGCTGCTGATGAGCTGGATCACACGTGACACTCCACGCCTTCCTCTTACATAATTTTCCTCTCAGAAGCTTCTAATAAAAATAACATTTTTATTAATCAGTGCACAGAATACTTATAAGCAGTCAAATTAAGATCAAACACAATATGCTGGGTGGATTTGGCCTGTGCGTAAAGGTTTGGGCATCCTTTAACTCGTCACACCTGTTTACCCCAGAGTGTGCGCGCGCACTTCCCCCTTTCTCCGTCCAGATCACGTCCTTGTTGATGTCACGAGGAGATCGCGTTCTTTCCAAACCCCTCTCAAACACTTTTGAGGTCATTTAATCCACGGACGCGCGCAGGTGTCCGTCTTCATGACAGCTCCTCTCGGTTTGGAGGCTCACGCGTCCTCCACGTGGCTACACGTCGTCCATCCTTATTGGTTATCACAGAACTGTGCATGCGAGACTGCGCGCGGCCTCATTCCTGCAGGGTTCGGTTGTGTCTCTGTCAGTTTTAATTCTGTGAGTCAAAAGCTGCTGATTGGGTTCCTGAGCAGCTTCAGAGGAGCAGCGTGCGCCTCATGGTGCGGGCTCGATTTGCATTTTTAAATCTAAAACTTTATTTTGAAACAAATTCAATGAGATTATTAATCTGCTTTATCAGTGTGGACATGTTGATTTTTAACTGATTCCATATTCTCTTCTCCTCTCTGGCATTTTAATTGCAACTGAATCTCATTTTGATTATTTATAGACAGTTTGTCCATTTATTTATGAAGCACTTTTAAAGTTGGACAAAAGTCAAAGAAGCAATTCACAAACCCACGTGCTTTAATGATCAAATTATGGGAACATTGTTGTTTGAAAATTTAAAGCATAAAAATAATCC